TCCCCAAAAATGGTTCGTCGCTAGATTAATTATATGTCGTTGAATAATAATCTGTAATCTATTGGCTTCATGTATAACGTTTCTTTTCATTAATCTTTTACCCGACATCCTTCGGGTTATTCTTCCGCTTCTCGCTCGAGCAATAAGATTCAGCCCATCATTTATATCGGGGACTTTAATTCTATCAGGATTTACTTGACTTAAAAAATTGTTGAGGGAAATCATATTTAGAGAAGGAAAGAGTTGAAAAAAAAGTTCAAGGATGCCATTTATTTTATACTAATTATTGTGCAACATTGGGGCTGAATTATGTTTACGTTTACATGTGCTGTTTGATCATATCAGATCATTTCTCAAAACTTATGGTGTCAGCACTTTGGCGTTTTCTAAATCTGAAACATTACAAAGTACTTCTTATGATTTCAAACCAAATTGCATGATTATATGTATTGATATGGTTCGCCTGAAAAAAAAAAAAAATAATTCAAAACAAAAATGTGAATCGCTTTCATTTGTATTAAAAAAAAAGTAATGATAAGCTTTAATTACATAAGCATGGATATATCCGGATCTTGTAACGTCCGAGAGCAGATATCGCCAAAGATTTGATTATCTTGTACTTAGTTTCAAAGTTTGTTTTAGGAATCCCTTGAAAGATATCGAGTATAGCAGCTCCTTTTATGAATTTGTGTCAATATCAATAAGGAAGGTGAAAAATGAAAAGTTCAGTAAATATGCTCGAGTCTATTTATATTATAAAACCAAAGTCGTCTGTCTCACTTAACCACGTGTAATGATCAGTGTTACACCCGCAGACTTACCTTAATTGGTATAACCTCATTAATATCTTAAGATTTACCTTCCTGTTTCTTCGCTTCGTGCGTGTGAACTTGATAATCGAGATTTAATTATTAGTAATTTAGATTGTAAAAATGAGATGAGATTGTGTGAAATTTTCAAAAATTCATTCCGGCGTAAACGCCTAATTACTTTTTCTTATCGACGCACAAGTATTTTCTTTGTATCGTATTGGCATAATCATAACCATAATATCTGAAAAAATAAAAATAAAAAATACCTCCTTAACCTTAAAATGCAGGGGAATTATTTTTAAGGTCGCGCAAGTTATTTAAGATAGATTATCTATTTAACGGAGGAGAGACCTTGTTGTCTTTTTACGGCGCGGATCAACTTTCAAAGGAATAATAAGTTAAATAAGTATTTGATTGATCGTCGCTTTGTTAATTTTCTAAAAATGACATTTACCGTTGGACTGGCTAAATTTTCGGCCGGTGCTGGTCACTCATCTAATGAGAACGCAATTAATCTATCATCCTTTCATAATTTTCAAAATTTTTAATTGATTTCTATATTAGAAAAGGAAAAGATAAAATTTTAATCTATAACTCTGGCCGGAATTATGAAGTTTTCTTTTTAAAAATTAACATTTTTTAAACAAAATAATTTACATTTCATAATCAATCAATATTTATTTTCACCTACGAAAACAAAACATTACGTTGGCGCAGCAGTTTCTCCACACGTCGCGACTTGGCATAATTACGCAATAGGAGCAATGCCATCGTTAATATCTTTCTTCGCATGTTTGCTTAGAAATAGCAATAGCAATACAATTAACCACTTTTTAGGTTTAAGAAGAATTAAAGATGTCTGAACATTTAATTGGAATAGTGCATAATTAAAATACAACTGAAAACTAAATTTCTTGAACTTTTACATACTTTGAAGGAGTTTTCTGTTGAAAAGATTACGAACAATATTTAAGCGTCACTGAAACATCTTGCTCTTAAATACTATAATTTGACATAATAAGATGATGATAAGAAGTACAATGAAAAATAACTGAGGATGAAAATGTTTTTGAGTAGAATTCAAATGAATTATGTTTATTATATTCTTCATGCGTTTTATTTTGTGTTTGATAAAGATAATCAAAAAAAAACCGCTTAAATTTTTTTTTTTATGACCAATCATTGTATTTAAATCAACCTAATAATTTATTCCGTTCCCGTACTGTCGATCATTAAAATTCGGTAGTAATAGATTCGTAATGGGAAATATTTTTTTTTAAAAAAGCAAGAGATATATAATATAGTGATCACAGCAATCATAGGGTAATACAATACTTTTTTTTCTTTGTTTTGATTGACCGTAACATGTAACGATCGTTGAAAGGAATCCTTACACAAATTGTTATACAATTTCCGTTTTGATTAATTGTCAAATTACCACAATCGGTTGTGTCCACACCTCCCATATTCGAACAACGAACCAAGTAATGTAAAATTTTTTTCATTCTTTACTTTTCCTTTTTTTGACAAACAAAAGACCGCAAAGTGACTAGTTGTTTATCCTTTATTTTGCTTTATGTGATATCCAATCTTCATAATAAAAGAATATATTTGAAAACTTACTGCGTCAAATGAATGAGAACCTAGTTAACCTAATTTGGTAATCGAATGAATGGTCGATTATCAAAATAAAGTTCACCTTTGTTAGAAATTCCTTTTTCATATAAAAAGCCTATTATCCAAATGGAGATAACTCCGCAAGCACTTCATCATCAATACCTTTTAATGGAAATTATTTTTTCATTATTTAAACTTTTAAACATTATATTAATTTAAAATCTTGAAAGTAAATAGTACTCATCAAAGGATTTTCATAATTTTTGTTGAGTTCCATTACCATGTGCTTATCTTTCTACGGTCTCTCATTCAATATCGTACCACATTCTTTACAAAACTTCTTTCAAAGCTTTGGAAAATTACACAAGTTGTACTTATCGGCAATCTGTCGGCTTCGGTAGTACAAGGAAAGAAAACATTTAAGCGTCACTAAAACAACACCAGTTCCAAAATAATTTTTATTTGTTGTGATAAAAAAATATTGAGTTCGTCACGTTAATTATATTCCAAGTTTTGAAACAATATTCCGATATTGCTATAAAAAAAATCACATTTCAATAGAATGAAGAAAATTTCTAACCTTATTTATCCTTATATCTTTCAAAAAACGAGGCGTGCAATTTTATTTATTATTATTTAGACATAACCGTTCCGTTACTTCTACATTGAAAGATGCTCGAACATTATTTGCCGTCTAATATATTTATTTTATTGCCGTTTATTTAACAAAGAGGTTCATTTTTTTTTTTTTTTTAAAAAAAAGTGACAGTATGTTTCTAAATTAGTTCAGAAAATTTGTGATTAATATTTAATACAGCATTTGAAAGTTTTTTTTTTTAAAAAAATTTAAATAAGTCTCGTCCTTGTGCATAAAAGTTTTTTTAATTATCTAATATTATGTTTGTGATATTTTCAAGTGATTTTGATTATTTATATCATCGATTAATTCAATGAATAAATACCATATTGGTTTTGTGAATTATTTTAAAGTAAAGTTACCACAATGAATTAAAAAAAAATCTTTCTTTATTTTTCTTCTCTTGAACAAATATTTTTATTTGATAACAAAAACTGCAATTATAACTGCTTACAAAATTTCGTTTAAACAAGGTGAAAGGAAGACGTGTGTTACAATTTCATTAAAAAAAAAAAAGGATGATAACAAAGAAAACAATCATTACTCCTTAATTACATGTGTTCGATAACAATGAAAGGCTTGCCGCGTAAATGTAAACGATCTTAAGACTTGTTAAAAAAATGTTTCCGAAAAACTAATAAATGAAACTGTTGCCCACAGCATTGAATAATTTACTTATTCGATATCATTGATCTTTCATACTAAAGCCTTTTATCTAAATAAAGAGAGATACAAAGCAATGTATTATTACCATAATTATCTTTTATAAAATTTCTTCGATTATTAGTGTAATTTTATATTTAAATAATGATATATGATGATGCAATAAATTCTGTTTGTGATCTAATTTTATGACATCAATTAATTCAATGTATAAATACCGTATTGGTTTGCGAATTTTTCTCAAAGAAAAGTTACCACAATGGTACAATGATTAATACAATGAATTATAAAATAAAATATCTTTCTTTCATTTCCTTCTATTTATGATTGAACGAACCTTTTTATTTGATAACAAAATCTGCAATAATAACTGCTTATAAATTTCGTTTAAACAAGGTGAAAGGAAGGCGTTTAATACAATTTCCATAAAAAAGGATGATATCAGAGAAAATAATCATTACTCCTTAATTACATGTGTTCGCTAACTTGCTACGTCAAATGTAAAATAAGACTTTGTAAAAAAAAAGTTTTCCGAAAAACTAATAAGTGAAAATGTTGCCCACAGCATTGTTTGATTTACCTATCCTTGATCCTTCATACAAAAAGCCTTTTATCTAAATAGAGAGAAAATACAAAGCTATTCTATAAAATTTTTCGATATTGATGTAATCTTTAGATTTAAATAATAAAAATATATAATGTAACTTCTACTATATCTATTCATTGTAGCACAATACATGCGGTAATAAAAAAATATGGGTAATTCAATCTTTTTAAAGAAGCAAATTTTTTCTTTGTAGAAATCTCAAAAATTTTTATTCGAGTCCGAACATTCTAATATGAAAAGAACTTTCAATTATTACTAGTAATATGAAACCGGTCCTCATCCGAAATCGTTTTATGAAACACGTTAGAACCTAATGAATTATAAATGTACCAAATCGGGATTATAATATTACAACTTTTCCTGCATAACAAAAATGCAAAGTTAAAATACAATTAGTGGCTTACAGTTTATATATACATTGTGCTGTCCATTAAATTAAGTAAGTTCAGTTTGAATGAATAATAGTTTTATGCATTATAAAATTGATGTGATATTATTCATCAAATAACGTGAATTCTTAGATTGGCAGTTTTATTTATTGTAAACAAACACCTCATTAGTTATATTAGGTAATATTCACATGTAATTTGAACGGTATTCATGGATTTTTTTATAAATAAGCATTAAAAAAGCTGGGCGACGGTTTCATACTAAATATTTCTAAATGTCTTTAAGAATATTGAGTATGTCTAGTAATTCGATATTAAATCACTTTTTATCACGGATTATTTTTCGTAGAATCTATCCACCGTTCAATAGTAATGCTCAAATACTTGCTGCGCAGTTTAGATATGGTAGTATTATTTCTAGTATAACGGGAAAAACTTTGTTGAAACGAAACGTAAAACGAGAGGCAATTCGCTTACGTATGTATACTCAAAATATAATTGATCTGGCAACGACATATATTTGGGATCATTCAACAGAATACCAAATAGATCAATTCACAACTTTGGCAGATACTGTGAATAAAATAATTCGAGATCATGCATCGCAATTGAGTAGAGAGGATTCCATTTATAGAATGACCCAGATTACTTCATTTCAAGAAACAAATTGTGAGACCGGTAACGACCTTATGAATGGATGTAATTTTCCATGCTGATTCTTTTAGATAAATCATGAAAACTCATTCTTTCGACACGGACTCATTTCAAAACATTTATTTTCTTTTTTTTCTTTCTTTAATCATATGTCATTAAAGATTTCCTGTCGTTACTTTAAGACAATCTTTGCTCTCACCTTACCATCATTTTCTTTATATTATTTTCTTTCTTACTTGTATCATATACCATTCTACCATTATTGCATATTCCGTTACCTTATTATCGTTAACTATTTTCTGTCATTATTTCAAACAAATTATCACTTTACACATCTTTTCCTTTATATTATTTTTTTTCTTACTTGTATCATATACCATTCTACCATTTTTGTATATTATGTATAAAATTTGTTCCTTATTATCGTTAACTATTTTCTGTCATTATTTCAAACAAATTTTTCTATTACAAATATTTTCATTCTCTATATATATTTTCTCCCTTTCTTAATCATTTACCAATTTTTTTTTGTATATTATGTATAAAATTTGTTCCTTATTTTCGTTAACTATTTTCTGTCATTATTTCAAACAAATTTTTCTATTACAAATATTTTCTTTCTCTATATATATTTTCTCCCTTTCTTAATCATTTACCAAATTTTTTTTTGTATATTTGTACTCAATTTTTCTCTTCTTCACACTTTTTTCGTTGACAATTAACCGGTCATTAGTTCAAGTCAATTTTTTCTCTTTTTTACTTTAACCCATTTTTTTCTACATAATACTTATTTTTATTTAACTATCCTGTCATTACTTCCAAATAATATTTGCTTTCACTTAACTATTGATACTTTCTTTTATATATATCCTATATATCTTTTTATCTTATATTAACTAATTTTCTTCCTACACAACACTTTCTTCTTTTAACTATTACTGTCATTAAGTACCCATTTTGTTAATATTATTTTTTATTTATTCATTTCCATATATAATTTCATTCTTAATTTCATTATATATTATTCTACCATATTTGCATATACTATATCCAATTTTCTCTAGCGATGCTTTCTTTTGCTGAGCATTTAAAAAGGTTTAATTCTTGTGTGGATATTTTACTGCATAATTGTAATTGATAACTAAAGTTGTTCTTTATTCTTTTAGGTAAGTAGTTAATTTCTTATATACAATTTTCTATTTTCTTATTTTATTTATCATTATTTTAACGAATCTTTCGTTTTCAATTTATAATAGAAACTTTTTGATCATTCTACTCTTCTATGATGTATATATTTTTTTAAGCCTTTAAGAATTTTATAAAAAAAAAAAAGATTAAGCATTTAAGATTTTATATGTAAATTTAAGATTTAGACATTAAGAACTACTCCAACCATAATATGGGGGCTAAGCTATTAAAATCACCTTTCGGGACCCCACCAACTAAAATTGAGATTTTTGATTCATATTATTATATGATATATGAACTTTATTTGGTTAAATTTTTATAGT